AAGACCTTCTGTGGTATAGTTGGTAGCACTTGGCTTAGTAATTAAAAGTCCCAGGTCCAAGTCCCTGTTGGGGTAAAAATGATTCATATATATATATATATATATATATATATATATATATATATATATATATATATATATATATATATAATATATATATATATATATATATATATATATATATATATATATATATATATATATATATATATATATATATATATATATATATATACGTTTATATCATTTGTAGGTTTTTTATTTTCCTTACTTCTTTTATTTAAAAGTACAGCACACTATATCTGTAAATGAAATAAAATCAGTTATAAAGAAAAGCTACGTCGTAGCTTTGAAAGGCTGAATAATTTCCAGCGGTAGATTTAACTTGCTGTTAGTGGCTTTAGTGTCTGCATTTTTTCTCATCAGTCAGAAATTAACTTCAATTTCAATCCACGACTGAGGCGGCAGGTCAAGGGTTTGGGAAACCAACACGGTCTGAGGTTAGCAAGGGCATGTACTCTGGGTAACGATTACATCTCCCAAAACAAGTCCTTCACAAAAAGGCAATCGTCCTAGCCCTTGGTAGAAAAGTGAGTCAGTGACGTAAAGCCAGGTTCTGCATGCAATGTGAATTTCCAGTAGTTCTACTCTTATTTTCACCATATGTATATTTTTGCAGCCGAGCTTAGTATTTACTCGAATATCGGAAAATTACAGCTTAATCTTCGCAAAGTTCCAAAGCTTTTTCTAATGGCTTAAAGCTTCCTCAGATCTTTAAAGCTTGAGGATGCCTCATGTTGCTAAGATGCATCGTTGTTATTTGAAGAAATAATTCTTTAATATTTAGTCGTGTTTACAGACATTCTGGAGCGCATTTTAACACACACACAAATACACACACACATATAAGTATTGGTTGGTTCCGATTTTACGTCACGGACTCCCTTTTCTACCAAGGGCTGGGATGGTTGCCTTCTTGCGAAGGACTTGTTTTGGCATATATAATCATTACCCTGAGTGCATGCCCTTGCTAACCTCAGACCGTGACAGGGCGCGAACCCTCTACCCGACGCCTCAAAGTCGCGGACCTACCGCTTGAGCCACGGTGACATATATATATATATATATATATATATATATATATATATATATATATATATATATATATATATATATATATATATATATATATATATATATATATATATATATATATATATATATATATATATATATATATATATATATATATATATATATATATATATATATATATATATATATATATATATATATATATATATATATATATATATATATATATATATATATATATATATATATATATATATATATATATATATATATATATATATATATATATATATATATATATATATATATATATATATATATATATATATATATATATATATATATATATATATATATATATATGCAATCACACAAGTGATCTATAGTGTATTAACAAAATCTCAACCTCTACTATTCATAAAAAATTCTTTTATAAAATTTTCTAAAAATAATGGAAAATATTTATTCTCTTTAGAAACTCATGTATATTTTTTTTATATCAGTCCCTTGCAACAGTTTTCCCGTATGTCGTCAATACGTCTTTACAACGCTGTCGCCGGCAGCAGAACAAATCAGGACAGCGGCGATAGCAATAGAAAAAGTTCGCAATAGATATCGCAAATCCAAGAAACCTCGGTCGAGAAAAGACATTTAAGCCCAGAGAGATATGACATGCGCTTGCCTCTGGATGACGAACATTTATAATCGTTCGAGTATATTATCCCACAAAAACAGAACTGATAAAATAGATGAAAACTATAACGTAATGTAATTAATATTTCATACTATTTTTTTGGTAGACTTTAATAGTTACAGACAAAGGTTAAAGGTAGTAACAGTGTTAATAATGTCGTTTCTTTGTCATTATTTGTCTAACAAATGATAAATGAATAATGCCAAAAACGTCGCAATTCAAGTGTCTTGAGATATATCTATACACCATGATAATTTCACATAAATTGTGATGACGTTAGAGGTGAGCAGATTGTAAACAAATATACATAGGTACACATACGCAAGTTGTATATAAATAACTAAGTTATTTATATACAAGAGCGTAAAGGCAGAATCCGATTTTGGATAAAATAAAATAAAATAATAAAAAGCTTCCATTTCTTCATATATATATATATATATATATATATATATATATATATATATATATATATATATATATATATATATATATATATATATATATATATATATATATATATATATATATATATATATATATATGAAGTAAAGGCAGCATTTTATTATATTTTTTTTTATATTATCCAAAATCGGATTCTGCCTTCACGCTCTCAAAGCATGTTGCGTAATGACGCATAGAGAAAACATACTTGTATTAAAACTGGTTTTCCAAGGAAGCACATCAGTTCCTCACACGTGGTAATCAAGTAACGTTAACAAGACTGACGACCCGGTTTTACGTCACAGACTCAATTATTTTTTATTAAGGGCTAGGACGATGTCTTCTGTCGAAGGACTTTGAGTTTGGCAGTGTAACTGTTTTCCTGGGTGAATGCCCTTGCCTCAGACCTGCCACAGCGGCCACAGTCATATTTACAAAAATGATGGAGGAAAATTGGCTCATATTAGGTATTTTCTTTGTTAAAATCTGTACTCTAATTCTAAGTCTGATACAAGTGAATAAATACAGAAGGGAAGTTACAGAATTTATCCACGAATATTATATGGTCGAGTAGTAACGCTTGCAGATTTGATTAGTCGTGTCGAGGGTTTGCAGTACACCACGATATGAGGTAAAAAAAGGCATTCACTCAAGGTAATGCTCACACTTGCCAAAATCAAAGTCTTTCTCAAGAAGGCACGTCCTAGCCCTTATTAGAAAAGGGAGTCCATGCCGTAATGCCGTTCAGCAACATAAATATATACATGGCCGATGTTTTTTGCTTTAGCAAATTTCTTATGTTATTTTTTGTCAAGTTCTTAAGACTGTATTTCGTTGTAGCTGACGGGATTCAGTAAGTCTTAAAATTTAATTAGAATCATACAGATTCGTACAACCCTGTACATTATCAAATGGGTAATTACATCTTAATAGATGGAAGTGATACATAATGCCTTGACGTAACACCAATCAGCAATTTTAATACAAATATAAAGAAGTGACATGTTGAAAAACGAGCGGTGTCGCAGAAAAACCAGTTGGAAAGAAATGCGCTCACAAAGTTGCGCAGAAAACAAAATTTCTCTTTTGTTTACGTCTTGAAGATCAAAAACACCTGGTCGGCCGAATTCTCCCTTACAAGTTCTCATAATTCTTGCTATTTGAGAACTTTATAATTTTGATAATTATAGTAGTAGTTGGCTTATGGCACCAACCAACCATTGCGATACAACCACTGAAGGTTTTTTGAACTTAAATTGGTCTCTCCAGGACAGTTCGATGTTAAGTCTTCCTTCAGTTACGGTTCTTTTTCTATGCCTACAGCTACACTAAATATTCTTGGATATTCATTTCACATCTTCTATTATCCCTTCACAGCTGATAAGTCATTACACTCTCCATCTCTGTATTCTTCGTGCCCAGGCCCGATGAGGGTTGTTTTATTTTATTATTTTTTTGGCCCGTCCTGTCGTCAAAATCATAAAAAAAATGTAAAACCATCTAAAAGAGTCGCTGACAATCTGAGCATTATTCAACACAAACAGCTAACAATGTTCAAACTTCTTAAACAGGGAATTAGTAAACATATCAAAATCTGAAGTTAATCATGAAGTCTAACTCCTTCCCATCAGGTACTTAGCAACTTCAATACTATTTGCGACAAAATCAGGCCAGGAAGAAATTCTCTTCTAGGAGAATTGTAATTCTAATTTCTAAAGAGAATGTAATTCTAAATTCAAATTCTAATTCAAGACGGAATAATGAAAGGAATTCTCCAATCTGAACCATTCATCAATAATAATATTGAATTGAACTTAAATACTGACAAGAAAATCTCTCTCTCTCTCTCTCTCTCTCTCTCTCTCTCTCTCTCTCTCTCTCTCTCTCTCTTTCAACAATGGAATAAAAATGAAATGGAGAGAATAGAAAAACTTTTTCAAATTTTTATTGATTTTTTTGCTGATGTAAGCGTTCTCGTTCATTGCGAATTCTTCTATAATCGAACTTTCGACAGCCCAATTAGAGGTGTTTAATTGGGAAAAGTCTCATTATCCAGTCTATTTCCTCCCACTAATTGGTGGACTCGAATGGGAAGCAGCAGTAAGTGAGAGGGGGATCCCAGGCGATGAAGAAAAAGCTCTTCAGATTTTTTTTTAATTAATCGCATTTTTGAGAGTTTTAGAGAAAAAATATTATTGCCATTTGTTATTCTCTACTAAAATCATATATAAAAAAGTTATTTACTTATGTTTTCATCTAATTTTTTTTTTTGAGGGGGGTGTAGTGTCCCTCCTTGTATGCAATAGAGGCAATTAGGTTGAGAGCAACTATATTATGAATTAAAAAAATAGGATAAATAATTGACATATTTAAAGTATGAAATGCTTGCTAAATTGAGAATTTGTGATTTCATTCCATTGCGATACATTAATTATATATTTTAATATATCTATAAATGAAGAAAAAAATGGCAATGACATAGCAGTTAGTCCCCTATAATGTATTAGAAGATATTGCAGGAAAAAGATAGCCTACTTGAACACAAAGACATTCTAATATATTATAACGTTCCAGGTATGTGGTTTCTTATAATCAAAGAAGGCTTAAAGTTTTCCGTCAGTAAGGAAAACAAATAATTCCTAATTTGAGATCTGTTTTACGCCACGGACTCCCTTTCCTGTTAAGGACTAGCTTGGTGCCTTCATGACACAGACTTTGGATTTGGAAGGTTCGACCGGTACCCTGAGTGAATGCCAAATCTAATCTCAGACCAAGGCGGGGATCGAACCCACAATCTGACGATTCAAAGTCGGGAGCGTTACCACTCGACTACGGCGGCCACTACCAATTCCTAATTAATAGTTCTAACTTTGCAAATTTATATTTTGCAAGTTACTCTGCCGTCATATAATACTAAGCCATGAAGGGACATGCAAAGGAAGTTCAGTCATACAACATTGAAATGTCGATTTCACGAACTCAATTTTTTGTTCATGGGTAATTTTCGTAGTCTGACACGATTGCTTACATTTAAATTTTTAATTTATTCTGAGACACTGGCTATTTGTGGCTTTCGATGTACCTTAAAATTAATAATTATCTCCATAATTCAGAAATGACTTTGTAGTCACCGTGGCTCAAGCGTTAGCGTTCGCGACTCTGAGGTGTCAGGTCGAGGGTTCGCGCCCCGTCACAGTCTGAGGTTAGCACGTAAAACCGGAACATAATTCAGAAATGGCTTTAGTGAAGTCAAGATATCGGATATATATAATGTAAATAATGAATACAAAAATATCTGTTTTCTGTAGCTCTTCCCAGTCTTTCACTGTAAATAAATATGATTCACTGAACTAAAACTCAGGAAAATGGAAGTGTTCTTTCGGTCCTGAAAGTCAATACATACAAATAAAATGGTAGCAACCATAACAAAAAAAAAAATAATACCCATAAAGATAAAATGTACAGTGGTATTTGAAGGTCATAATATATGAAAAATTAAATAGGGAGAGGAGTTAGAATTTTTCCTCCATGTTCCCCTGCGTGTCGTAAGAGTCGACTAAATGGGGCAGAGCGAGTGGCTGGGAATCCCCTCATCTGTATTTTGTTTCCAAGAGAGTCAGAGTATTTTGCCTTGCCTCAGTCACTCCGCTTATAAGGGGAAAAATGGCAAATGTACACACTACTACTACTACTCGGGTGAGCAGGAGATAGGATACATTTTTGTGATAAAAGTTAATGTGAAGTAGCAAAATTGTTTTGATGAGCAAAAGTTAAGATTATCTTCTTTTTGTGATCCATCCATTTACCAAAAGCTTTATTCCCCCTTATAAGGGGGGTATTTGAGTCAAAGGAAATACTTTAATTTTTTGTGGGAAGTCAATAAAAAAGGAGGGGATTCCCAGTCCCCTCATTTTGCCCCATTTAGTCGACTTTTACGACACGCAGGGGAACACGGAAGAAGTATTCTTACCCCCCTCCCATTGTGATAAAATATAAAAGTGAAAGAACGAAACAGATTTAGTGAGAGAGAGTGAATACTATTTTATTTTTGTATTTTGACGAGGCTTTGAGCAAACATGTTATGTAAAAATATATCGCCATATATTGCGTTCAGAAAATTATCAGAAGTCCTGTGTTACAGATCAAGCATTGCCTCTAGGAATGACACTCATCTAAATGAAAACCCAAATCGATGAAAGCAAGCTACAGTTGTCGTTGCAAGTACCAAGAAAGAAAAGTATGATCCATAAAAGAAAAAAAACAAGCAACATCCTTAAAGATAAAATATGAAGGATTCGCGGAACTGCGTAGAACAAAGATAAACTAGCACTGAAACTAGGTGTCACCCTTTGTCATTTTAGATACTAGGACCTGGTCCCGAATGTGATTCCACAAGGGCGTGCATAGCAATATTTTTCTAATCTCATGGACTTAAGGGTGCTCATACACGGTGCGATATGGCCTTGAGACCAAAGAACAAATCTGGTTGGTTCCTATTAGATTAGATCGTCTATGGGATGGATGTCGCCCATAACCTGCCCAGTCTGGTCGGATCCAGCCACATCGAATTTGCAGTTTCAAGGGCAAATCTCACCGTGTATGGCCACCTTAAAATGTGCATTGGTCTGGTGTTAATCGTTTGACAGCCATGTCAATATAGGAACCTCAGTATGAGCACTAATATATGTGTAGCGACAATTGTGGAACAAAATCTTGATCTTATTTAGGAGAGAGAGAGAGAGAGAGAGAGAGAGAGAGAGAGAGAGGAGAGAGAGAGAGAGAGAGAGAGAGAGAGAGAGAGAGAGAGAGAGAGAAAGAGAGAGAGAGAGAGTTTAACTGATGGCTATAAAATGTGATCAGTAACGTTAACAGGGTTAAGATATAAACATTTATACTGAAGAAAAATTAATTGCTTAAGACAAATTTATGTCTCTAAATAATGTTTTATTTTTAAGTAATTGCCCCAGTAGTCATCACTTGCACATAGAGATTTAGGTGGGAAAAATTGTACTGAACCAATAGACAATCGTTAGTGGCTGCTATGGCCAGGAGGTTGTACACGTGACTTTGTATCGTCAGACTGTCGATTAGAGGCCCACCATGGTCTGAGGTTAAGAAAGGTATTCACTCACCGTAACGGTCGCAGTGCCAAAACCAAATTTGTTCGAAAAGAGGATACTGTCCTAGCCCTTGATATAAAAGTGAGTCCATGACGTAAAACCAAATCATCAATAAATATCCGTTTGGCACAATAATATCCCAGAAATCGTTAAATGGGAGAAAGTTGAGGTGCTGCTCGCTCTCTCTCTCTCTCTCTCTCTCTCTCTCTCTCTCTCTCTCTCTCTCTCTCTCTCTCTCTCTCTCTCTCTCTCTCTCTCTCTCTCTCTCTCTCTCTCTCTCTCTCTCTCTCTCTCTATCTATCTATCTATCTATCTATCTATCTATCTATCTATCTATCTATCTATCTATCTATCTACCTCTCTATCTATCAACAAGTCAGCCAAGGGAAAAATATAGCGTTCATTTGCAGAGTGAATGGGTTCCATTCATGAACTTCTTCCCAAGTTATTATGGCTCAGGATTATCTCATTTTAAAGGGAATTTAATGAATGATCTCATTATAATCCGATAATCTACGAGATGATAATTTCTCGACTAATGTGAAGTCATTAGAGATTAATTGAGCAGAATTGTTGATAATCAGGTTAGTGGCTTTCAATAATAATCAGTTACGGATCCTTTTCTATGCTTACATCTTCACAAAATATTCTTGCATATTCGTCACACATCTTTTAACATCCCTTCACATTTGACATGTTACAACACTCCCTATCACTGCTTCACAAAAAAAGGAGACTATATAACAGAAGGAGCATCAGTAAGCTGCTCCTCAACTAAGGCTTTTCATATAATTTTGCAAATCATGAAACTTCTTTATCTGGCTGATTTGTATCTGATTTCTTAACCCAATTGTCCTCATAAGAACATCTTGAGACACTACAACATCGTGAAGTCTCTGACCGGAATCTTTAACAGCAACAATCGCATTACTTTGTGAATTAAGATATATGATTTTCTCACACTATGCAAGGTTTTTTTATTTTTATTCTTACCCCCCTGAAGGAGGGGGTAAGAATACTTACTCCGTATTCCCCTGTGTGTAGTAAAAGTCGACTATATGGAGCAGAGCAAGGGGACTGGGAATCCTCTCCTCTGTATTTTGCTTTCCCTAAGACTCAAAGTATTTTCTTTGACTCAGCCACCTCCCTTAAAAGGGGCATTATGGCTTTGGTATATGAATGGATGGATTAAATTTTGAAAGCAGAGGAAAGAGAGACCTCGTTTAATATAACAATTGATTTAAAGATCAGGTATAAGCAAAATGTTTACTAAAAAAATAAGAGCAGTTGGCAAAATCTATAATGAAAGATTCAGGATGTATATGTTATTCTAAGAATCTTACACATCCAAAGACCATTTACAAGGACTCCAGTAAAAACAATTTATTTTATGACTGTGACATCAGGACGGGTCAAAAAATATATATAAAAAAACACTCATCGGGCCCGGGCACTAAGAACACAAAGAGAAACAGACGGGGAGAATTGTGACCTGTCAGATGTGAAGTGACAACAAGACATGTGTAACGAATATCCAAGAATATTCAGTGTTGATGTAGGTACGGGGGAGGTAAAGTACAGAGGTGAAGGAAATAAAAACACGTTAAGTTTTAACAGAACAATCCTTAACAGGGCTTAACCCAATCTCAGGTTTCTAAGCTTTTGTTGAAAATGGCTTAAAGGAGCAATGGAAGTTCTTACTAGCCTAGGAAATGAGACCTTTCAGAGGTACTTTTAGGGATTTACTTTTCCTCTAAAGTTTTAGGAAGTGTTTGGTTAACAACAAAAGTAGTCACCATGGTTCAAGCGGTAGCATACGTGACTTTGAGGCGTCAGGTCAAGGGTTCGTGCCCAGCTGCAGTCTGAGGTTAGCAAGGGCATGCACTCAGGGTAACGATTACATCTTCCAAAATAATTCCTTCGCAAGGAGGCGACCATCCTAGCCCTTGGTTGAAAAGGGAGTCCGTGACGTAAAACTAATAACCTTTTGATGAACAACGAAACTTTTATTGTAACGACTCTAGTTTCACTGTATTGTCACGGTTAGCAAGCAGTATATGAGGTTAATGGTTAATTTTAATTCGGGCTGTACATGAATAGCCTTGAACTTGTATAATAATAAATATAATAAAGCTATATGGCCTCTGATTTTATCTACCAAAATATTGGAAATAGAAATGCATTTATATTTATTCAATGATGAGTTGCCCCGCAGCACAACTAGACTTCCAATCATTACAAAAAATAGAAATATTTGAGTAGAAACTTTACAAATTATTGAGAAAAAATGAATGATTGAAAATAAAAGAAGCTTGAGCATTTAAGTATCATTAGAGTTATTTTTAACGAGTACAAGACTAGGACGGGCGAAGCTAGGCACGAAGAAAACAAAAAGCAAAGAGAAACTGATATGGGGAGTGTTGTGGAATGTCAGATGTAATTGGACAATAAGAGATGTGTAAAGCATATACAAGAATATTTGGTGTTCATGCAGGCATAAAAAAAAAGCCGTATCTAAAGAAACACTTAAAAACGAGCTGTAATATAATAAACAGGCAATGTGTTACAGTGTGTTGTAGAATCATGATATGGTTTCATTTAATCTCACTATAGAAGCGGAAGGTAAAAATGGCACTTGGTTGATAGTGCCATAGCTCAGTGCCTGAATTAATGGCAGAGACCTGTTGTTTGAAATGCAAGAGAAGACCCGTGCAATGGCA